TACTTTAGAATGCTATCTATTTAGTTCCAAAAGAAGGATTAATATCTTATAGATATCACTTTTATCTAATGTAACTAACAACTTGATTTGACTGAAACAGCAAATGGAGCAAGAGTATTCCCTCTAACAATGCTAAAGGAAAACGAATAATTAGAATCATATGCTACTTTTTTTTTTTTTCCTTTGGAGAAATGGTTGCTATAGGGCACGTGTACTCACCAAAAAGACAGAGAGAAACAGAAAGCGAGAAATCACCCCACCTCCCAGGCGGGATGCCCATGCTACAATCCCTTCTCCTCCATCCTCCTCCTGGGATCTTGGGCACACACGCACATGCGCCCGGCGTAAGTTTAAGCCACCAGGTCCAAGACTCGAACCACAGTCGACTACATGGGAGTCCAGCAACATAGCCATTACACCAACTGCTGGCCCCCATGTGCTACTTCTTAAAATGAGGCGTTTTCAAAAATGGATGACTGGGCCTTGAATGCACTAGCTGTTCGACAAAGTTTATTATTATCATTTTTCCGTTTAATGTATTTTAACAGCAAATTTACAGGAACAACACAGAAGACAGACAACATTAAAAACATGAACTTGCAGGGGCTGTCAGGTGGTGTGGTGGTTAAAGGCACTAGATTCCCACATGACTGACCACGGTTTGAGTCCCGGACCCGGCGGCTTTCTCTCTCTCTTTCTCTCTGTCTGTCTCTCTCTAGTCAAACTGAAATAAACAAAAAATTAAAGTAACTTCTGTGATCAAAAATGAGAATTCTGTGAAGACAGGTCTTTTTTATTTTAGTGCTTTCTGAATACACTGGGTCCTCGGCAAAGGCGTGAAGCATTTTTGCATAGAAAAATACATCATGACTTTCCTGACGACCTAATTAATGTATTTTTAAAAGTCCTTCAAGCTTCTATATTTCCTTGTTGAAATATTCTTTTCATCCTTAAGCAACAGTCTCAGGATGTCACCCAGGATAGCCTTGAACTCCTAATCCTCCTGCCTCAGCCTCCCATATGACACACTCTAAAGTACTGTTTCCGGCTAGTAACCTGCCATCACAAAGAGCAGTACTGTGAAAGCATACTGGACACTCACAGAACAACAGAACCGAACCGGACCCCTGGGCTACAGCCAACTACTAATGAAAAGCTACAGTGTGTCGAGATTCAAACAACTCAAGGAGAAAAGTAGAGAAACCCGAAGTAAACATCTGTGATCCTCTTTGCTTCTTACCTGGAGAAGGTATTTATTCAAACAAATGATTGGAGAGAAATGAAGAGTCATGAACGAGCCGG